TACGTGAAATATTCCTTAATAAACAATAATGAAAAATGAAGTAAAATTAAATTAAATTAAATTTAAAAAACAGACTACTTATTTATACTATAATTGTACTATATTATAAGACAATTGCATAATAAATGTCGACAAATTCTAATTGTAAAGTAATCCTTGATTCTTAAAATAAATGACATAAATATATTTTTGTTTAGGAACATCGTTAACTTGGTTGCATAGCAAAAATGCGAAAATATTTAAATTTGAATATTATTCATAAAATAAATTAACAAGCTTGCGTTAATGCAAACACCTAATATACAGTTATATGTTAAAAAATCATTATTAATACATTACCGTTTCACTACAATAGAGTATAAATTTTCTTTTATTTGACAACACTAAATATTTTTGTAAAAAATCTACTTTCAAAATAAAATTAATTGTTTAAAAAAGAGTAGGTACATTTCCTATAAAATAAGTTCAATAATTATTAATAATAAATACTTATTTTTGGATCCCCATTATTTTTAAAATAAATGATTTTATACTAATATTCAGAAACATTTAAATAACATTTTCATAATTAATAATAGTAAATTAATTTTTAAAATTTAATACAATTCGCATTAATAGTTCAAGGAATCTTTAAATTTAACGTCAAAAAGAACAATTATTTGTGTTCGAATGTTAATTAAGATCTGAAGAACGCCGTATTTCCATTTTTAAAATGTCTTTTTCGAAAAAGCTAATATACCAAAATAGCTGATTAATGCTTCAGTAAAATTTACACGGATAAATTGTACGCTCGATTAACGAAGTTACAATCACTCTCCCTGAACCTCTGATTACTTCGGTTTGGATTTGGTACTGGTCCAAAGTAGTAAGATAAATAAGTAAAATAATAAAGTGCAATGAACAACCGTTGCATAAAGATTATTATCGAAATGAGTGGAGACAAGTTACAACATAAAACAAAAGTACAAAAAAAACAATAATTTCAAATAAATAAATAGGAAAAAATCAGAAGGCAAAGTCAGCGTGTCACTCTTAAGTATTGAGAAAAGTAATATCTAATGGAATAGGCGGTCCAATATGGGACGCGCGGAGACTTTTGCGTAGTCTGCCAAAATAATAAGGAAGGCGTCTAAAGCTGAGAAGACGTGCTAAAAACGTCCGCTCAGGCATGTATGAGCTCGGTCTCCCCGGGCGTCGCTAACAGATGGTCTGCCAGTATACGTTGAGAGACCACAGCACAAGCTGAGAGGACTACATTTGCGAGGACACGCATTATAGAGGTTAAAAAGGAGTAAACCTCCTCTGCCCACCTGGCTATCCTCTCATTCTTTGTTCAAGACCTTGAAAAAGAACAGCAGTTTACTTGAAGGGAAGTCTTACGTAAGTGCACAACCTCGCAAAATAATTCTTCTACGTCTTCAGATCCATCGTAGCTTCTTATTTATAATACATTCTCGTGGTAGTAATTCCCAAGGAGTGAAACAGCCACTGCTCATGAGATCAACCGACACTTCTGGATATCATTCTTGACAGCCTGCCGTGACCTTGACGAAATTAAGAACGACTCGTTTCCGTTCTTGAATACCTGAAGTTTCTGGATGAGTGACAATATGCTCAAAAAATGAATTTTTTATTATCTTTTTTAATTCATGTTAATGGAAATTAAAATTAGTTTAAGATTACGCAAAAAACTATATTTAATGTTATGTTTAATTGAATTTAATTTATTTTTAATTTTTAACATTATTTTTATATTATTGCATTAGAATTTGTTATATTTAAAAATGTCTTTTATAGATAGTAGTTTATAGACAAGTAAACTAAAGTAAAAAATATCTTTATAAATATAACAATAATAATTTTCAACTATTTAAAATTATAATATTTATTAAAATATAGTAGTTATATGTAAAAATAAATAATTATAATAATTATAAATAATAGTAATTAAATATATGAATAATTTTATAAAATACATTTGGTTAAATAACTGATCTATGAATTAATTTTTGAAGCATAAAATGTTCTTAAGAAAATTCCAAATATTCCAAAATATTGATTGAAATCAACTTATTTGAAATTTGTTCTAAAGCAAATATATAAGTATTTGAAGTGTTATATAAAAATATAGTAATAATATAAAATATTTACTTTATAAGTTATAGTTGCAACTAATCTATATATAAATCAAGTATTTTTTAATGGTCATAGAAATTATTTTAGGTTTATAAATATTAACGTTGTATTTTCAATTTTAAATATTAAATTTGTATTTTTTAAAACAAAAATCTTTAATACATTTTAAATATTTTAAAATGTGATTAATATATATATAAAAGAGTATTAAATATCTACTTTTCATTTATTCAGACATGGAAAAAAACTTACAAAATAAGAAAACTAAACTATTAGTCATATTATTGTTTATACTTAATGTTTAACAAACCTAATCAGTGTAAAATAGTGTAACAATAACAGAATTTTTTATGATTACTTGTTAAAGTTGTTAAGTTAAAGTTAGTATTGTTAAAAATATATATTGAACCAAACTATTCTCACTTTAAATGTTGAAAAATATTCATAGAAGAAATGATGATCTATTTCAGAATTTTCAAAATTTTTTTTACATCAGCATATTTTAAACATACATCAAATATACTTGATGACTTATAACATATTTCAATAATTTATTAGATTTTAAAATAATATTTTAAAAATGAAAAATATATGAAACCATAACCTGAAAAATATAAGCGAATTACTTATTTCGTAATAATCTAAATATAGATTATTTGGGTTATCAGAACTAGAATTGCAAAATAAAAGAGGAAATGAAACGATTATTGTTAATTGGTTATAAGTGACAATAAATTTATGATAAAGTTTGAGTACATTTTTGGATAAAATCCAGTGCCAATAAAAAATATTGAATTTTATACCGTGATAATAGACAATACCTTGTAAAATTCCATGATTGTTAAGACAATACCTAATGGAATGAGAGAAAGCAATTTGTTTCGTCGATACGCTACCGTCGCAGTGGTAACCGCGATATGTTACGTAAATCAACAATGCGGTGCTTATCCTTTTGGAAAGCATCTTAAAATACAGGTCAAGGAAATAGCTAAACAGAAGCCTTAAAATAAAACGGCCTACATCACGAAGTTCTTAGTCAAGAATATAGCTTGTACCAGCAACATTGATACAATCTAACAGCAAATCACCCTCAAACCAATCGTAAAATGCCACATGCTTCCAATATTCACTGTTCACACTATTACTTTAGCAATAGCGGGAAATTTAAATTATGATAACAAAAAATCGTCCAGTGTTCGAGGTTCGTCACATGCGTGTATGAAAAGCTATGGCCAACAAGCTAAACGTAGACGTGGGCTTGGTGCAAATAACAATAGTCGCAGCCAAAGTGGATCAAGAATGAATTATTGGTGATTGGGTCATAAAGCCACTAGAGAGCGTGCAAACTGTTTAAACACACTGAATTGTCGAACAATAATAATTCATCCCGTTGTATTTACTCCGATTACTATTTTAATCTATGCTTTTAGTGATTGGCGACGAACGAAGAATATATCGGCTAATGACAGTGCAATGATACTAGCAGAAATCTGAAAATTATATTTTATTTGTGTGTTCAACAGCACTTGTGTATTGTTAAATCGAACGTTATAAAGAAAGCGAATTTTATTTGAATCGATTCACGTGATCATCATTGCCGAGATTGCCTAATTTCCTTGCTCTTCCCTTTCCATCTGCTATCTTTTATCTTCTTTTACTCATACGTTGACGGGTGATTTCGATATTTGCATGCAATAGTGTATCGCTCAGGCATATGTAAATTACTAAATAAAAGTTAACTGTGAATGAAAATCCTATGATGTTTTCTAATAACTGTTTCTAACGGTATTCGTAAACAAGTGCATGTTCTATCTTTTTATTTTCTTTAAGCAATATTATATAGCACTTAATTTGTACATACGTATGCTTTTGCGTAAAAGTGTACATATACTATACGGTTATTCGTTTTTTCGAGAGTGTGTAATCTTAAATAGCGTAAAAATTACTAATTGGATCAGTATATTGCCAAAAAGTAGTTAGATATTTCAATTTCACGAAGAGGCAGTAAAAATAGCAAAAAGGAGGAAAGAGACAAGAAAATACACTAAACGTTCGGGTGTTTTTTTCTTTATTATTTCTCTTTCCTCCTTTTTCAATATCGTGTGCAAGTAAGAAAAAGAGAACAGTTCGTTGACGAGGAAAAATACACGCGTCCATTCAACACAGGCCACGTTTATCGGAACTTCCCTTTTTACCATCTTTACGTATTTTTTCGACACTCACTCTAACTCTCCTTTCTCTCTCTAATTTTCGGACGACAATATTTATCCAAGGTGAATATGTCTATATGACCTTTTCAATTATACTTTTAAAGAAAAATTCGACGATATGGTGCTAAGTATGTTTTTTCTTTTTATAAATTCTTTTCTTAAATATTTCACTATACAATAATTAATAAAGATAGATTAGTGTAAATATGTAATATTATACACTATGTATATTTTTACTTTTTTTCCAGTTAAAAATCTTTTGTGTTATAAGTACATTTATATTACCTGAAAAAAATTGTATTACTTTAATGTTGAATAATCTAATTTTTTTTTAATAATTAATTTTTTTATTAATTTCAATTATTAACTAGCTCATAATTAAATAGCTAATATTAATTAATTAAAAATATAATTAGTTATAAGTTTGTAAATTAATACTTTGAAAGCAAGCCTAATCATTGCAGCCTAATCCTATTATGTATATATATATACACACACATACACCAATGCATATGTATAATCAATTGCAGTTATAAGGAAAATAATATTTTGATATATAGATGATACGTATAAGTTTTTAAATACTTTGACATTAGTTTTGGATAAATGATATTTTAGAATGTAACATAATGAATTATTTATCTTCTGTTACAGAAATTAATTGAATGAATGAACGCTTATAGTGATTAATGAAAACTGAAGTAAAAGCAAACATGGAGGATGCTCATTGTAAATCTGTGGATGAAATCCATAATTATTTTAATGTTGATCCTGAAAAGGGTCTATCAAACGATCAAATTAAAAGAAATCAAGAAAAATATGGTCTTAATGGTGAGTATTTTATCTTTAATATTACATGTATTATATAAAATACTGTACCTGAAAATATTGTATTGATTACATTTTTTTGTTAAATATGAATATTTTTATAAATATATAATGTTACAAATTAAATATAAATTAAAATAATTAATTACACGATATTACATAATAATACAATAAAAGATTTTTAATATTTTGTACAGTTTAGAAAAATTCATTTATTTGCAGTAAGTTTTAAACTAATTTAATTATTGTATTTTTTTATTAAAAAAAAAATAATTTACAAACATTTATTTAAAGTAAAGATATTGTATTTGACAAGTGAACATTTAAATCGATTAATATTTTATCAGCTACATTTTATTAGATTACATATATTTATTATTATATATCCATTAAATTATACATTTATTATTATGTTTTCATTAGTTTATATTTTTTATTAGTTAAAGAGAAATAAGCAAAAACAAAGCTTTCATAATATAAAATACATAAATTATAGCATAGAATAGTATAGCTAACTGAGTGCTCTAAATTATTTAATTTATTTGACTTTATGTAAATAAAAGTAAAAAAATATGAAAAAAGAAATATTAATTAATTTAATATAAATATTATTACTTATTAATCTAATAATAAAATTGTGGATAATCTAAAAAATGTATAGTGATTGATAAAGATGTGGAATAAAAATTTTTATATAATTAATAATTTAACCAACAAAACAAAAAACAATGAATAATCATAATCATAATCAATCTTAGTCTTGTAAAACTTTCATACCTAAATATATTTATTTTTTAATATATATGATTGTAATATAACAAATTATTAAATACAACTAAGTACAATATTTAATTTTCTGACACATGGTTGTGCTTTATATACAAACATCTCTTATCAATGTATTATCTAGAATAGGTTACATTGCTATTACTAATTTTATAATCTTTATTCATATTATACAAATTTATAAAAAGCTTAACAATTATTTTCAAAAAATTTGGGAAATGAAAAAAAGAAACATAAAAGAAGATTGAAGAAATGAAAAGTGTATTCATTTTTAATAATTCTAATGATAATTCTAAATTATCTGTATTTACTATATATAATTAATTATGTATTTGCTAGTAATATTTTTTATTGAAAAAAATGAAATAATTAATAATTTATTATTTAATTATAAATTATTATGTATAATTTATTATTTAATATTTTTGTAATAAATAACATTTTTACAAAAAATGATAATTTTAATTACTACTTTAAATAATAAAAGGTAGTGCATAGCAATTTAAGTGATGAGAGTTTCTCAATATCTCATTGGTTTAATTGGTTATTAAGGAATTGATAAATCTTTTAAAGTGCTTTGTATATGTTTTACTTAAAATGAAGTTTTTAAAAATCTTTGTAAGTAAACAGTTATTACAAATTCATTTAAAAATATAAAGTCTTCTTCAAAATGTCTTTTTATTATAGAATTGAAATATGAAATAATAATTTCAAAATATACGATCGATTGTATAAAATTTAAGAGAAATTAAAATAAATAATGTCGACAAAAATATATATTTTATTATAAATATTTTTCAATGACAAGTATTTGAAATTGAATTATGCTTTTCAATTTAAATGCTAAATTATATAAATTTGACTTTATTTAGATATTAAACATAAAATATACACATATCTTAAAAATTAAAAGGATATATTTTTAGAAATGAATAAATTCTAAATAGAAAAATATTTAAATTCTACAAAATAATTTAATTATTGTTTTGGTTATTAATCTAATTAATTAATGAGATAACTAGAGAAACAATGTGAATAAATATCTAAATTTTTATAGAGTTAAAATTATGATCGTTAAAGTTAGAATAGGAAATCTTATTCAAGAGGCGAGCAAAACAGTATACAGTTCGCGTTTAGAGTGCATGCAATTTCCAGCTATTTTAAAGATAAATCAGTGAGTGAGTGCCAGCTACTATTTTTTACAATAGTGCAGCCTAGAATTAACTATTTTGCAACATTCATTTTTTTCTAGACTTATTATTGTTTACACCTCCACTGTATCACATATACAGAAGATAGCTTAACAGTACATAAGAATTTTAGATATAAAGTTATATTTTCAAATCACCGATTCTAATACTATCTTTAATCATATTTAAGTCTAAAATTAATGGTTATATAGTTGGAGCTAACCGGTATCAAATAAAATCTGATTGTTTTGAAATAAATAAAGCTGGATATGGTACTTTTTAACTAGATTTATGATAAAAACAAAAGTACATTTTTTTGTAGTCAATAAACTCACAAAATTATAATAATAATTAACTATAAAGTAGGATACGTGAATTAAATATTGAAAAAATCCAATATTTTCTTCATATATATATATATATATATATATATATATATATATATATATATATAATTCAGATTCTATCAGATAATTAAATTCGTAGTTCGATTAATAAACAATTGCTTTATTATAAAGTAAACATATTAAGATGAAAGAAGATGCTTCCAGTTAAATAAATATTAAGAACACAATAATATAAGTTTATGTAGTTTCAGTGAGAAAATTCAAATCTCATTAATCTTTTAACAAGAAAAAAAAACAAACTGATTGCCATAATAAAGTTAGATGTTAGAAGCAAATTGTATATATTATTAAGGCTTTGCTACTTGCAAAGATAATATCAATTAATTACCGTTTCCGATTAATAGATATCATACTGTTTTCAATTATGTAATTTTTCAAGCTCTCGTATAATTTTTCATGTTTAAGTCTACTATTTTCATGTATTTACCAATTACTTTCTTGATACTTATCTACACATAATCAAACTAATCATTTTTTATTTTTTCTATATACATCTTCAATTTTTTATCAATTTTTATTTACTTTGGCTTTTGATACTAAATTTTTATTACAATTAATTAAAATGACCAATTTATAATATTTAACGAGTCTTCGTTTTTAGTTATTTAAATATTCTAATATACTTACAAAGAGTTTATATGATTGCTTTAAAAATTACTACATTAATTATTATTAGTTGACTTCTACAATAGTAGATCAAAAATATAGTCTAGTTCGATTGTGATTTTTTAAATCAATAATACACCTTTCAAATACCATTGAGCAGCTAGCTGTAATTTTGACTTATTTTTATTAAAATTATGAAAATATTTTAAATTATTCTTTAAAATTCGAATATTAAATCTAATTACATTTATTATGTACCGTGTATACACTTGACAATTATACCTCTTAAATGCGATAATTTATTCATTTTAATATTGCTTAAAAAACGTAGTATTGCTGCTTCTTTATTCCTTTATGTGAAACTGATATTTGATAAAACAAAGGTGATGGAATGCACCAAATTATACGAAATAATGGATTCCGTAACTATACTAATGTAATTGATAAACAATATTTTTTAAAATATTCAAAGGTAGATGTGGTTTTAAAATTTGTTACTAAATGAATTGTTCATATATTTAAAATTGAAAAATTGTATATAATTAATTATCTTTCTAAATTACTAATATACTCAGAAAATAATCAACCAATATACATTTTCTATTATCAGTTAATTTAAAAGAACAATATAACAAGATTAAAATTTTATTTCTTGAAATAATTTTAAGTAGTTAAATGAATATATTAATAAAACTATATGGTTTTTTACTTTATATGTATACAAGGTATTTATAGTTTGAATTTTATTTTATATATTATATTAACGTAATTTCATTATTCATGTTTTAAAAGCACTTCCAAATCTAAAATCAAGAACTACCTTGCATAAATTAAAAGTAATTAAATTCACCTAAATTATATATCTAGTAACATACGGTTAATATGAAAGTTATTTAATTATTTTAATATATTTATGAAAATAATAAAACATTACATAACAAAAACATTTCTATTTACACATTTGTATACTCGCTTAATTGTTGTACACTTATTTTATCCTTGAAATTATAGAGAAAATTTATGTCATTTTATATCTTATCAAATATAACATAAAAACAAATTCAAAATATATTTTGCAGTATTTAAGTTTACTAATCGAGGATGAAAAACATTTAATTTAAATTTAAATTAATCTTCAATTTATTTATGGAATTTTTAAAAGATAGTATATAAAAGTAATTTATACACATTCTGTCTTTTAAATAAATAAACAATTACAATGTATTTAAAATATTTTGTATTTATTGTGGTAATTAATATTTATTTAACTATTAAATACAAATTTCTTATGATATACTTAAAAATAAAATATTTTCATTGAATATTACATTTTTCACACTTAAAGTTATAGCAACTTATTAAGTTATCAAAACTCAATGTTATCGAATAATCTCGGAACGCTATACAATTTACTTAACTAATTATTATACTTTAAATTATTCTGTTATTACTTGAGCATTCAAATCTTCTAAATGTTGTTAATAATGAAATTATGCGATTTCATGCTATATCAGAATTAGTAAGAATTAATGCAAATAATTGTTAAATAAATCTCATAATATATTGTTTAAACACACGATAAATAATCTTTGAAATGTCAGTACATATAATATATATATACTTTTTTTTTTTATTTTTCATGCAAAGAAATAGCACTTCATTGTTATATCTAATCAAGGCTACGTATAATGATAATTTTCTTATGGAGCACCATAGTTTTAATAACTTACTATTTCACGATATACGTCATTATTTTTACACATTCACCTACAGAATAAATACACATTTTTAGATGATTATTTTGTATAATATGAAATTACGTACTTAAGCTTGTAACCTGCTAATTTTTAGCTATTCAATTACTTATGAAATGAATTATTAATTCTACAATATAATGCGTTCGATTTGATAATCTTAATTAAATCAGAGACAACATTAACATTTAACTGCATGTATCATTCATTAGTTATCTGTTGCTATTTATGTGAATATTATGAACACTTAATAAATTAATTTTCTGAAATAGAATTCATTATTTTACAATTTTAATTTAGATGTCTAATTTTTAAAATAGTGAAAATTACTATTTAATCATATATACATGATCTTTGAATTAAATATTAATAAAATTACATGTTTGGTTTGTTACAGAATTGCCAGCTGAGGAGGGTTAGTAATTCATCTTAATTTTACGTAAAATATACAGATGTATATAATTATTATAACAAACACGAAATTGAAAAAACTATTTATATATTTATATAATTAACATATAATTATAAAATATCAACAGGATTGTTTTATACAATACATATGAAATAAATTTTTATTGATTTATACATATATTTTTAAAACTCGTATGCAAGCATAATCACAAAATTAATTAATATGATAAAAAATGTTCTATGTTACTATTTCTGATTTATTTAATAAATAAGTAAAAACAATCATGCAAAAAATTTAATATAATAATAATTTAATATAAAATTGATTGCTTTGAGCTTGTATTATAGTAATATTAACATTAATTAATTATTTAACTTGTTTTTATTTATGGATAATTTATATTTATGTTTTTGATAATATATTTATGTTTTTATTTTGCAATTATCTGATAATTTATCATTTCAAAAAAATAATCAATTTTAATATAACAAATTTATCATTATATATTTGATAAATTAGCATTATATTAAAATATTATAATTAATTTTAACATAATTCAACTCTTTTAAATTTGCAAATACATAATGTGTAAATATATAAATTTAACATAATAGCTTAATTAAAAATTCATGCATCATTTATCATTCAAAAATTATCATAAATAAATTATATCATTAAATCTTGTCATATATTGAAGTCAAAAGAACAGTGAATGAACATTTTAACAATCCATCATTTGTCTATATATTCATTCCTAACAAACGGAAAATAATTTATCATAAATGATTACCATTAAACGATATTTTCTCGTGTAAAAGTAAATTTCAAGATTAAAATGCTTGAATATTATTAATAAATTCTTGTTTTCTGATTCCTTTCATGAAATAAGTATATTATTAAATATTAATAATGTATTTATTTCAGAAAATTTATTTCTAATAATATCTATTGTAATAAAACTAACATAAAATAGATTATATATAAGAAAATTGTCATATATAATTGTTTTTAGTAAAAATATAAATTAAAAATACTAAATAAAATAAAGATAGCTAAAATAAAACTTTCATTAAACTTATTCTTAAGATAAGATTGAAAATATAATGAAATTGATATTAAATTTTCTAAAAAATATAGAAAATGAGTATCATTTTTATGCTAATTTCCAAATAAACATAAACCAATCTTTCTAAAAATTAATTGTGTCAAATATTTATTTTTTAATATGTGGAAAGTCTTTATTCCATAAGTCATAACAATTTTTATTTAATTATAAATTTTATCATTTTATAGGGAAATCAATCTGGCAACTTGTATTGGAACAATTTGATGACCTTTTAGTTAAAATTCTTTTATTAGCTGCTATTATTTCATTTGTAAGTATATATTTATAAAAATTTATATCAATATTTTTGTAATAATAATTGAACTCATTTGTATAATTTTAAGTTTTAGAATAACAATAATTGTCATAATTTTAGTACTATTTATTAGTAACAAAATACAAATATATAAAAATAAAATTTAGTTTATAATAAATTATTATATACTATTCTATGGTTTATGTAAATGTAATAAATGTGTAAATAAATCATAGAATAATTTCATAATTTATAAACATTATCACTTCTTACATAATTTGAATGATACAAATTGTAGATAATAGAATATTTCCATTAAAAAAAGATGGGCAACAATTTTTATTTTAATTCTTGAGTACTTAAATATTGTTTAATGAATAATATCAATTTTAAATTAAAAATCGTATGGATGAAATAGCCACTAAAACCAAAATTAACTAGAGTATTAATAGATTTATTAATAGTATTAATAGTTAGAATATTAATCAAAAGATTTTTAGATTCTATCAATATGTTCTAAAGAAATCAACATATATTGACAAATTTTTTTATTGTATAATAGTAATATAAAAATATTTTTTCTGTCACGTAATGCAATAGGAGGTACATTAAGCAAATTTAATTCATTTGGTTTATACATACAAACTCAAAATAAAATATTGTGTATTTAATCAAATAATTGTTACAAATTTGAACTAAAAAATACTAAAAGATATGTTTCAAATACAAAAATTAATTCGTTTATTTTGTTAATAGACTATTTTCGTAATATTGATATTTAATAGCTAACAATTTCAATAATAATTAACTGTGATTTAAATTTTATATATATATATATTAGAAATTTACATTGACAGAGTATTTAATAAATTGAATTCAGAAATTGATGCTTAATTTTTGTATAACCAATTATTCAAAATATAAAGTCCTTATTTTTTACCAATTCTATTTCCATTGAAAATAATTAGGATTAGGTGCTACAATTTAATTACTAAATTATAAAATATGTTTGACAAATAAATTAACAATAATTTTATTACATAATTACACTTGGTATACCATGGCTTCCATCAAATATCTTGAATCTCTATTGACTAATTTTGTTCTCTCACTCTATTCATTCAGATTGTAAATAATTTTAATTAATACAAATGTTTTCATCCAAATTGCATTTTCAACTGATATATACGAATACAGATATACAATGTCATTGACTTAAAATCGATATGATATTTCGCTAGGTAGTATAAAACTTGCCACAGTGAATGTAATCTACATTCTTAATAATTTTTAAAAAAGAAGAAATTCAAAAGTTTATAATTAATAGTAATTTGAACATATAATGTAATAAAAAATTGATATTGCATAGTCATTTAATTATAGCCATTTTTCACAAATTTTTAAAACTTCAGAATTTGATAGCATAATTTGCTAAATTTATTTTATATACTTTAATTATATTATAAAATTAATGCAAAAGAATATTTAATTATTAAAATTAATGTAAGTTTACAAGAAACACTTTGTATATACAGACATGAATATCTTTTTAAATTATGTACACTCATAGTTAAAATGATTTTTTTAATAAGACATCAATTTCTATTAAAGTTTTTTAAACAAAAATTCTCACAAAAGTGACTAATGATTTTAATATCAATCTACGTAGTTTTTTTATATAAATATTAACGATGTGTAATAATGTTCATTTCTTTTTCTTTGAAGGTACTAGCTTTATTTGAAGAACACGAAGATGCGTTCACTGCGTTTGTTGAACCTTTCGTAATTTTGCTCATTCTTATCGCAAACGCCGTTGTTGGTGTCTGGCAGGAACGCAACGCCGAGTCAGCAATCGAAGCCCTAAAAGAATATGAACCTGAAATGGGAAAAGTTGTGCGAGGCAATAAATCCGGTGTTCAGCGAATCAGAGCAAAAGAAATTGTACCTGGAGATGTCGTTGAGGTTTCGGTCGGTGATAAAGTTCCCGCTGACATCCGCCTTACCAAGATTTATTCAACCACTCTCCGAATTGATCAGTCCATCCTAACTGGAGAGTCCATCTCAGTTATCAAACACACTGATCCGGTACCCGATCTTCGGGCTGTGAATCAGGTTCTTTTATCCTAATCAATTTGTTTGAATCGTATTATTTGAGTGGATGCAAATTACAATTACTTGAAACCATAACTAAATTAAAAAATTGTATGTATCCTTATTTACTCCTTAAAATAAATTCGAATTTAATGGTTACAAAAGTTCAAAATATCTACTTTAGTTCTTTAAAATAATAGTTAATACTTTAAAAAGACATACTCTAAAATCGCAAAATAATTATATTTTAAAAATCTTTAGTATTCAGATGTCTAGTAAACTATAGTTTTCTTAAAATTGAATTTATTACTTTTATCATAAAATAATTTTTTAATATTTTTAATTATATGCATCTAAATTTCATTATCTTCTAAGATAAAAACTGAATTAATTTCAAGAAATTGATATAATAGTTTTGATCAAGTAGTACTTTAATATAAATTGAATTATATAAATCATTTTCATCTTTGATAAATCATTGTATAATAGTTAATATATGTAAATTTTAAAATATTGTTTGATTATTTAAAAATATCTTACATATTTGTCGATTATATTAATTCAAAATTATCTAATAAGCAGCTGTTTAATTTATAAATTGCATACTATTTATGAAATCCAAAAAACTTTTGTTTCGTAAATAACATAAAAATAATAATTGGGAATTTACATAATACTACATTAAAAATGTAATAAACATAGTAATTTTAGAGAGAATATCGAATAATTAACATTCAAAAAATTTATTCTGTTTTTAAATGTATGAGAAAATATAAAAATGAACATTTATTTTATTACAGGACAAAAAGAACATCCTGTTCTCAGGTACAAACGTAGCTGCAGGCAAAGCTCGTGGTATTGTTATTGGCACTGGCCTTAACACTGCCATCGGTAAAATTCGTACAGAAATGTCGGAAACCGAGGAAATCAAAACACCGCTTCAGCAGAAACTTGACGAATTTGGAGAGCAATTGTCTAAAGTCATCTCAGTCATTTGTGTGGCTGTCTGGGCCATTAACATTGGACATTTCAATGATCCAGCCCACGGTGGCTCCTGGATCAAGGGTGCTATTTACTATTTCAAGATCGCTGTTGCTCTCGCTGTAGCTGCTATTCCTGAAGGTCTACCAGCAGTTATTACTACTTGTCTAGCTCTTGGTACAAGACGAATGGCTAAAAAAAACGCTATCGTGAGATCGCTGCCATCTGTAGAAACACTGGGTTGTACTTCCGTCATTTGTTCGGATAAAACTGGAACTCTAACGACCAACCAGATGTCTGTCAATCGGCAAGTCTTTGACTTATGCAATTCAATGGCTTACATTTTAACAATAAGCATTTATTATTAATTAAATAGATTTAAATAAAAAAAATATTGTTTAATAATTTTGAAGTATTTTTAAAAGTGCTTTGAAAAAAACTTTTTGTAGTTATTAAAAGTTAAAACAAAAGATAAAAATACATTTTCAATAAATATATAGATACATATGTATATATATAAATTCACGATTAAAAAATATGAAAATTTGTTTTGAAGATAATAACTATCATGTACGAATTTTTCATAATTCTAAATAAAAATTATATCAATTTTTGGTATGAATTATTTAAATGTATGTAATTTTTTACTAAGAAAATAGATTTTCAAAAAATTATAAAAACTATAAAAATATACGTAAAATCTAATGTTTATATTAACAATATTTTACAGTATGTTTGTATTCGAAAGGATTGATGGCAATGATTGTTCATTCAACGAATTCGAAATCACTGGTACAACATATGAACCTATTGGTGAAATATTTTTAAAAGACAAGAAGATTCGTACTTCAGAGTATGAAACTCTCCATGAACTGAGCACTATCTGTATTATGTGTAATGATTCAGCTATTGACTTCAACGAATTTAAACAGGCTTTTGAAAAAGTCGGCGAAGCTACTGAAACAGCCCTAATTGTTCTTGCAGAAAAAATTAATCCGTTCGCAGTCAATAAATCTGGTTTGGATCGACGTGGTACAGCAATTGTTGTTAGACAAGATATTGAAACTAAGTGGAAAAAGGATTTCACGCTTGAATTTTCGCGTGATCGTAAATCCATGTCCTCATATTGTGTGCCATTAAAATCCACAAAATTAGGAACTGGACCTAAGCTCTTTGTCAAAGGTGCTCCTGAAGGTGTACTTGAAAGGTTAGTCAAACTGTTGACTATATTTATATATTTTTCCTTGTCTAAGTTTTATTATTATTAATTATTACTTAGTATGCAAATAAATAGCTTATTAAAAATTATGGTAAGAAAATGTTATCCAAATAAAATTTCAATACAATATTGAGAATAAAGTTTTTCAAATTCTTATAATTAAACATACAAACGCAAACAAACATAATAAAAGAAAAACGGTCCAATAGTAAATGTAATTTAATAAATAATATTACAGATGTACCCATGCTCGCATCGGCGCACAAAAGTTTCCATTAACTTCAACTTTGAAAAATCGAATTCTCGATTTAACTCGTCAATACGGTACAGGGCGTGACACCCTTCGTTGTCTAGCTCTTGCCACTGCCGACCATCCACTTAAACCCGATGATATGGATTTAGGCGATTCTAGTAAATTCTATACTTATGAGAGAGATTTAACATTCATCGGTGTTGTCGGCATGTTAGATCCACCACGTAAAGAAGTGTTCGACTCCATTGTTAGATGCCGTGCTGCTGGTATCCGTGTCATCGTCATCACTGGTGACAACAAGGCCACCGCCGAAGCGATCTGTAAAAGAATTGGTATCTTCGCTGAAGATGAAGATACTACCGGCAAATCTTACTCTGGACGAGAATTTGATGATTTATCTATCCCTGAACAAAGAGCTGCTTGTGCCAGAGCAAGACTTTTTTCCCGAGTAGAACCCGCTCATAAATCAAAAATTGTAGAATATTTACAAAGTATGAATGAGATATCTGCTATGGTGAGTTTTCCTTGTACTTTGTTTAGCATTATTTTATAAGCACAATTATCTGATTTATTAGCTCTTAATATTTAAATTTAATAACCTACTAATTAAGAATAATTGTTAAGGAAAAAAACACAACAAAATAATGAAAACGTACAATAAATAGTACATATATATCACTAACAGGATTATGTAAAATATAGTCTAATATCTTTTTTTACTATATCCTTTGATTTAACAATTAAATACTTATTGTATAATTGCTTCTTACACTTATGAAATTTAACTTTTTATAATAAATTTAAAATTAAATGAGTTACTTATATAATGTGATGTAGTACAAAAATATATTTATTTTAAATAATAATCTTTATAATATATAACATTGGTATTATCTTATTTATTATTTATCAGACTGGTGATGGTGTAAATGATGCACCAGCTTTAAAAAAAGCCGAAATTGGTATTGCTATGGGATCTGGTACAGCTGTGGCAAAATCTGCTGCTGAGATGGTATTAGCTGACGATAACTTCTCATCAATTGTAGCTGCTGTTGAAGAAGGTCGAGCCATTTATAACAATATGAAGCAGTTCATCCGTTACCTTATCTCTTCTAATATTGGTGAAGTGGTTAGGTAAATTTAAAATTTTAATAGAATAAATTAAAATTTATTGTATTTTACAATGTTGTCTTAAAAAACAAGGAGCTTAAAATTTTTGTATAATAAATATATAATAGAAATTTTAATAATAATTTTTTAATATATTATAAATATTTCATAATTTATTTTATAATTTTCAGTATTTTTTTAACTGCGGCTCTTGGTCTTCCTGAAGCATTGATTCCTGTACAGCTATTATGGGTCAACCTTGTCACTGACGGTCTTCCAGCTACTGCTCTTGGTTTCAATCCACCTGATTTAGACATTATGCAAAAAGTCAGTTATCATTTGTTTTACTTATTTTCATGTAATTATATTTTTCTACGCCTGATTATTTATCTGTCTTCAAATAAATCCAAAATATTATAGTAAAAAAACATTTCTATATGAATAAGAAAATGTTAAAATTCAATTAAAAATCATTTTTTCTTATAGCCACCCCGTAAAGCAGATGAGTCTCTAATTTCGGGATGGCTTTTCTTCCGTTATTTAGCAATTGGTGGATATGTCGGTGCTGCTACTGTTGGATCTGCTGCATGGTGGTTTTTGTACAGCCCTAATGGACCTCAAATGAATTACTATCAATTGGTAATATATTTTCATTTCTTTCTCGAGTAAATATTTTATAATTACTTTTGATTTTATACATTTAGTACTATATTATAACGGAATATTCATTATTAATTTACATATTATTTAGGTATTTATATGCGTATATCAAATGAAAAAATTTGTATTCTAACTTTTTTTTATTGTTTACAAACATAAAAATAATTATATACTATAATTATTAAATTTTCATATATTTTTTTCAGACTCATCACTTAGCCTGCATTACTGGAGGTGAAGAATTTAAAGGCCTTGATTGCAAAGTTTTTAATGATCCTCACCCAATGACCATGGCTCTTTCAGTTCTTGTTACTATTGAAATGTTGAATGCTATGAATAGGTTTATTAAATACTTCACTTTCTAACTATAAATTCAACATTTAACATTCATTTTAATATGAATATTTTTTATTTGTAATAGCTTATCTGAAAACCAATCTCTTGTAAATATGCCACCCTGGTCAAATTTATGGCTGATTGCTTCAATGGCACTTTCTTTCACACTCCATTTCGTTATTCTTCATGTTGATGTTCTTTCGGTAAATATAAAATATATATATTGATATATCACATAATTAAATAAATATTAAAATAATAAAAAGATCAATATATATTCTAAAAATATGTTATAATATATTCCATTAATAAAACTAGTCTATTTTTTCTTAACAACATTGATTTAACAATATCATTTTTAATTTAATTCAATATAATCTATTTTTTATTTTTATTTGTTTTAAATATTTTCTAGTCTGTATTCCAAGTGACTCCTTTAACTGTGGATGAATGGCTCACTGTTATGAAGTTCTCAATTCCAGTTGTACTTCTTGATGAAACCTTAAAGTTTACTGCCAGAAAAATTACAGATGGTGAGAACCCAATGCACACCATACACTGGATTATTCTAATGTGGGCTGTGTTTTTTGGACTGCTCTTGTAAATGATAGATGCCTTTTTTATGGAAACCAAGTACACCACCTTGGACTTGCAGTTGCATTTAACTAAAAAAGAGCAAAAATTGATAAGCCTAACTTCTCCTTGTAGAGGAGAAGTTTATGATATAAAATAACGAAAACAGTGTGTCCAAGTGAGATTTTAATTATTTTGACTGTTGCGCATGGTGTTACGTTAGGAAACAAAAAACATTATATAGTTGAAGATCAATCATTTTGCATTACACTATTAAAAAAATCATCACTGTGCAATTATACCGACTCAGTGACATAATGTTTTTCTGTTTGGATTTAATTTTTCGTTATAAAGAAACGAGAACTTATAATCAATTTATTTTGTACAAGTGCCTTTTAAATATTAATGTTTTTTTTCTTACGAAGCAGCAATCTTGTTTTTCCAAATACCAATTTTCTTAACTGACGTTGGTTCTATTTCTTTAATTGCAAACTTTATTCTTTAATTTTTTTATATGCTGTATGCAAACTATAAATCATAATATGTATATATAAATATGTTACATATATGTATATGTGCAGGTATGTACGCTACCCGTGTTTTCAAATGTATACGTATATGAATGTATGTAGACATGCATTCACGCATGATGTGTGGTTATACATATATACATACATTTATTTATTTACATATATTCGTGTTATACACTAATTAGAATCTCTAGCCTTCTAATAATTAATCGATATGGTGATCACACATATACATTTTAAACATAATCTAAATATTCAATTTCTTCTCTACATTAATAATTACTGGTTGAAATAATATAAAGCATAAAGTGTGGTGATGGTTATTAAAAATATATACTTCATTCTACCGATTTAAAAATACATAAAACTCATTACACCTAATTGCCTAATATTAAATTGTAAACACACACCTGCTTATAATTGATAATGGTAGAATATCATGCAGCAATGCTCAAAATTTATTTACAAAAGCGTTTCGAAAAACCTAATTTATATGATATTATGCATATTGAGGAGGAAAGATAATTAAGATTTTTAATCAATTCAATTGTATATAATTATAAGTACTGCTGTAAATTTAAGCTTAAAATTAATTTTATTACACGCCTGTCACGCGAATACATTTAGATAGACTTCGTACCGAGTTTATTGATGAAATAGATAATGATTTAAAATACCTTCATTCACGTTTATTTAATATAATTCACCTTAAAATACAGTATCTTTATATCTCATGCTCGTATATTTGTGATATATCTATTTGATTATTGTTGTTATTCGCTTAATATTTATTATTAAAGTGCACTTTGAATAACCACTCACTTACTGAGTTGTATTTCTCCTTTATCTTCATTTTTTCTATTTTAAATATTTTCTAATTGGCTTTTGAAATATATAAGCTTACTCAAATTAGTAACGTATGAAATCTGAATACAAAAATACTTTGTTGCGAATCATGCAATTTTTAAAATTATTAACAAACAGAAATATCAATTTGATTCACTATATAAAAGGACACATACTTGCACGTGTCTTCATTTTTTAGAGACCATGTGTTCCTTGAATACTTAAATATCAATGTCTTATAAAAAATGGCACCTTTTACACGTAAAGTTAGGTTCTCTTAAAGAAATAATGCTTAAACGTAACTCTTTTTTGTAATTTACTTTTTAAAAAATAATAAGTTATATAGATATTGTCACTGTCATAAAGTTATTAATTAAAAAAAAAGGCAAATACAGAAAAAATTATGATCCGAAAAATTCAGTGCTACTTTTATAATTGAGTTTTCTATTTGCTTATATTTATCATCTCTCTCTCTCTCTCTCTCTCTCTCTCTCTATCACTCTCTCTCTCTCTGCCCTCCCTAATTAAAATAAATTAATATACTTATTCAAAATAAATAAATTTTAAAATATAGTAAACATTTTAATATTCATAATATATTAATATAAATGCCTTAAATTAAGAAATAACCAATTATGATTTGTGATAAGTACCAAATTAGAAATTCTAGATAATTTCTTTTATAAAGGAATTTTTATTTTGATAATATTTAAAATATTAATATAAAACTACAAAAATATTTACTTAGTTTAACGCAATATACTCTTAATTAATGTAGAAAATGAAAATAATAAAAAACAATTAAATCAGAGAAAAAGTATATTCTTATGTACTCATTGGTTAGTTAGACTATAGTTTGCATAGTTACAAATGTAAGTACTCCACAAATCTTACAATACGTTTATATAATATATTTTTTTGTTTATGTTGATTACATTTTCTATTATCTTTTAATTTGTTATTCTAATCATCTTTATTAATTTAATTCATTTAATTTTTCAAAAAAAATTTTAAACTTGAATTGGAACGATTGATTACTGTAATAAAGTAATATCAAAATTTACAGACAAAAATGAATTTGAATAGTAATAAGTAAAAATAAAAAAGAAAATATAAAAAAAATAATCGTAAGCAGGCAGTGATGATATATGACATTATTCATGAACATGTTTACGAATTTGCCTAAACCACAATATTGTGATCTATATATATAGTGCATAAAATTGATTGCTTGGCTTTATGTAGTTTGTACATATATATGATATATAAAATATATATATTATTTGTGTGTGTGTGTATGTACACGCATATATGTGTACTATTGATTTGAATTTACTAAATAATCCTAAGCAATACTCAAATGCGTCATTATAAAATATGTTAATATAAAAATGGTACACCTTATAACTTTTAAATTAATGTATATACTCGATGGCAAAGACTTCTACATATCCAAGAATTGTGAAAGAAATTAACAATCATATTAATTAAAATTAATTAAAATTAATTATTATTAATTAATTTTATATTAACTTTTTGAACTTTGATGATAAAAAAAATTTATTTGTTTTATAATTATAATTATAACGTTATAATTTTGCAAGCTTTTTCTAAAAATATTTGTCTAAAATAAAGTAAAAAAATTATTAATGCTAGTAAAAGAAATCATACTTTGAAATTAATAAATGCTTTTTTAAGTAAATCTCGCCCCAAACAAATTTATAAAAAAATGAGAATTAATTTTATTCTAACTCGAGTTATATGATTTTGTAATTTAAAAATAATCACAAATAATTAATAAATATCTAAATATTGATCAGTAATTGATAGGTGCCTTACTTTATATTGGATCAAAGTTCAAATGAATTTTGAAAATATTCAAAGATTTCTACACTGGTTGATATCTATTGCATTAAAAATTCAATCTCATTTCAAATACTAAAATTTCTTTGTATAAACTAAATAAATTTGCAAAATATTTATCTTTGAAAATGGAAATTTTTAAAATTTATTAAATTTTTTTTTTTTAATTTTTTACAATTTTGTTACTAAATCATATTCAATTTTATATAAAATATAAATAATTATTGAAAAATTATATTTATTAAATTTTATTCAGAGAACTGAATTTTTGATATATTTTTCATTATACTTTTAATGAAATATTACTTTTGTTGTAAATAATTTGAATCATGAAATATGAACATTACTTAAAATATGATATTTAAAAGTAAACAAAAATATACTGTATTACAATTTTTTTTCATTTTTGCAATTTTTTCAATCTGAAAATATATTTGTTTCGTATTCATGTTAAATTTTTGTGAAAATTCAGAAAATGCCGATTAATAAGTTTTTATTATTAAAGTATATTTATGGTTTACTAATGTAATAAAATACTAATTATATACATATAATAAATCTATAATAATTAAAATTCTTATTCATAAATATAAAAATTTACTATGACAACATAAAGGAAATGTTAACATGTATTATGCATCGTAATAATATTTTATTAGGTAGAAATAGATTAAGATTCAATAATCTTTTACACAAAATAAGTATATCGATTAGTAAAGTTCATCAGAAATATTCATCGTAATAATGTTTTATTTTGAAACGTGTATATATTAGACAATTAAGACTACATAGAAATAGATAACGATAAAATTTTTTTCAATTTAGGTAAGACAGTTATTGTTAATCAATAATATTAATATTTTTACTAAAAAATTTTACTTCATATATTTTTTTTCTTTAAAAAATATTCGATTAAAAAAGGGTTTTTAATTGAGCAATATTATCATAAAGTATAAGTAAAACAATGTGTAAAAATCACGAATTTTATATAGTATTAATATATTTGTTATTTAATAAAAGTAATTTTAGGTAGCGAACTCAGAAGATACAAATTAAAAAATCGTAACTAATATAACTATAATTTCTTAACGTTTAATTGCATAAAACAAATAATTAAAAATTCTGAACTAAGTATTTAATACAAGGCATGCACATGGTTTCGAAACAAGTAATGGCAAAGAAAGTAAAGAAAATGCACGGGAAATAGTAATTATTCATTTAGTATGATCCTGAATTCTGATGTTTTATAATTGTAATTCAGTACGTATTATACGTATGTCGATCTTTTTTATTACAGAAATGCGAACGAGGAATTCTCGCGAAACCCTCAATTTGAACATCTCAACCTTGCATTAAAAAAAAATGTATTTGTTATGCGAGATTACTATTATTGTAGTACATTTTGAAAACATTCAAATAATGAAATTAAGTTTAAAAAAGGTATATCTAAAAATTGAGGCATTGCCAATTGTTATTACTTGGTATTGCGCACGCTACATTCAAAGTATTATAACAAAAAGTGCGATCGCCGCATGCGAAGTGGGAGTCGGTTAAAACTATGATTTCAACTTTTTCTTCAGACAACTTAGCGAAATAATCGTTTAATTTATCTTCATACACTTGTTATAATAATAAGAAGAATATAAAAGCAAATAAACAAATGCATATGTTACTAACATTTGAATTTTTCTTTCATCACTAATCGGCTCACTAATGATAAATAGTTAATTTAAAACTTCTTAAGACATATAAGAAGTTTAAAATAATAGTTACATATATTATATATTCGAAAAAAAGAAGCTTCCAAAATTAAATTAAGATGTCTATTTTATATTTATAAGAACAAAATTACTAATACACCTATACAAATGGTGTATAAAAGTGATCATTTTAAAATTCTTACTGTATAATAAAATCTAATATCAAAATCCAAAAAGTGTAACAAAATATTTTATTTACAAATATATTAGCGTAGATGAAGGTATTTGATCAATTCTTGATAACTCATACTTTTAACGATTATAATTGAAAAATTGAAAAAGGGCTTCATTTTTAACATAAGATTAATATATTAATTTTGTTACTTTATATCTGGCGGATACTAACAAATAATTTTAAAAACAATTTACAACTTTATTTTTAAAATTATTGTAAATTTTCTTAATTCTTTATATATATTTTTTTCATTTATAAATACACTTAAACTATGAGCATATATGCTGATATTTTTTCTTTATTTTTTACGACTTATCGACTCTACAACAGATTTAAATATGTATAACTATTTAAAGTTTTAATATTGTCTATTTAATATGGTAATCTTTTATTACATAATACTTTATTTTAAAACATTTTTGTAATGAAAATAAATAAATGAAGGGAACAAGATAACAAAATAAGAATTTATATTACAATTTTCACTTTACAAATTAATTATATTACTGTTTCTTTATAGATATTTAGCTTAAATTACAAGATGAATTAACACAACTTTATGAATTAAGTTTTGCAAAGAAAGTTTCAAGAATATATTTTTTTATCTGTTTATATACATATCTTTTTCTTTGGTGTTCTGTTTTCATATATATTTTGTATACCCAGCTATATTTGTTTACCAATTAAAGATTTTCCATTTCAATACTTCATTTAATTTAAAAAACAATAGACACTTTTTAAATTCATTAAAATATACCCTTATTGTTTTAATTAACAAAAAGTTATTTTTATTTTATTTTATAAAATATAATATGTCAGTATCTTAAAACTTCTAAGTTTCATAATAAGTTAACTATATTTTATCCATATAAAAATATTACTAAGATACTATAATTTTTTAATTAAAAAAAACTTTTATAATAAGTATAAATATTTTAATATTCATTTTTTGTTACTAGTAAAATAAATTTTTTGTACGTTTATGCATTTTAAGTAGTAATTTATTAGATTTAGTTTTTTATTTATACATATAAAAAATCAATGTAAAAAAAAACTATTTTCTTCTCAAAATTCTTATTCTTTATATTATAAAAAAATCAATTTTATTTAAATATTGCTTATTTATTTTCGAATATCTTTCAATTAAATCTTTGTATATTTTTTATTTATTGCAAACATACTGAATACTATACATTAATAAAAAATCATTTAAATGATTTGGTAATATTTTCAAATTATTTTCTGAACAAATTTAGAAAATTACAAATATTTCTATATATTCGAAAAAAATCCTATAATTTCATACATTAAATAACAAATACTTGTTTTGCCTATGTAATACAGTGAATAAAAAAATTGTTTTTAAAAATCTAATTCTAACAATAATTCTAATAATACATATCAATGCATGAATAGATTTATAAAATTCTATTGAAATTTGTAACAGGATTTTAACATACTGTTTAACAAAATTATACAGGATTTGCCTATATATGTTATATACAAATTTTAATGCTTTTAATCAGACTTATTTAAAATTCTATCCACGTTTAAAAATATATCTATAAAACTACATAAATATACGAAGAACTTCACTTTCATTTAATATTTAGTGAAGTTAGTTTCAGTGCTTTATAAAGATGCAAATAATTCTTAATTTTATTAAAAATAAATAACCTAAATAATTTTTATAATATTTAACAAATGTTTACAAATATCAACAGCAGTGATAAACTAGAAAATATTTTATAATAATAAAAATATCGAAAACTAAAAATATATTTAGAATTTGTTGTTTGAATAAATAATAAAAGTAGAGATTATTAATTACAACTCTCATTTGACTTAAAAATATTTATTTATTTGTATGTAAAGGTATCTAATATTAGACTAAAATTATTTTATAATTTCAGGTTTTAATTTTAATTTTTTAATATATTAATCTTTTAATTATTGTGCAAAAAAAACTGTAAATATATAAATAGTATGGAATATTATTAAAATAAATAATAAAATTTGTCTGATTTTCAAAATATAATAAATGTTAAACAACCGATAAATAATAACTGTCATTATATGAGAGAAGACTATTATTAATAATTCTATAATTTAAATGTTCGCTGTATTAATGAGTTTTAACTACATTCATTAATTAAACGCTGCTTGGCTTTTATTTCACTAATCTTTTTCAATAGAGAAAAGGATTTGTCCACACTTTCTTGCTTTTTCATCCAGCAATTTTTCAGCTTATGTCTAGTTACAACGATTCAACGAACGATAAGCGCCAATCTAATCCAATGACATTCAACCGGAGCTTTATATAGTAGCACGTGCTCAAATCCATGATATCCATATGTATTTTTAAATTCTTTTCTGTTTTTTTACAGTGGCTCCTGAGGTGAAACCGATCCTGCACTAAATGTATCATGTGAGAACAAATAAAAACGCCAGAGGAGTAAGCAACAAATACAATAATAAAATATATCCTTATGATTGGACACGTGCAAACTTAAATACGTCAAACAATAGAAACGAACAAGCTAATGCAAAAATGATAATAATTTTTTCCAGTTTATGTACGTGACCAAAAAAATACAAAGGCATATGTGAGATATAGACAGGGTGATTAACATTGTGAAAGGGTCAAGGAGGGGAGATAGAGAGGCACGGAGGAAATGCGTAAAAGAAAAATGAAACATAAGTAGGCCTAGGGTAGGCCTGACGGCACCAAATCAAAAGCTAGTGCAACTCTTGGGAGACGAGAGAGCAATGCAAATAAATAACAAACTTTATTGTCGAAGGAAAGTGTATCAGAAAAATTCTCCGTTTTTAAATTTATTATTTCATTCTATTTTAGGTATTGAGTATCTGAGCACACTTTGTTGAAATCGTGCGTTAATTTCTTGGCTTTCCTTGATTCATTATATTTTATTTGAATTTAATGAAAATTTTAAATACCAAGTTTGTAGTTTCTTCTTCTTATGCTTATAATCATAGTTCAACTTCCAGTGAATACAATTACTGACTTATTTTTTAAACATTGAAAAGAAAATATTTAGTGACTGTAGTTATTGATATGAAAGAATTGAATAATAAATAGCGTTATCTACCTTGAATAGATAATACAAATAACATAAATAGTCGATAATACAGTAACAGGACTATTTGGAATAAAAACTTTAGCTCAATTTTGCAAGAGTGTGAATTCTTATGCATGCCTTTACTATTAAAGTACTTCGTGATTTATGATTAAAATGATATTTTTTAAACGATATTAAAATTCAATGACTATAATTATAATTTATTGTGCATCAAAATTCTTTTTCTTTATCAAAAATCTTCACTTTTTTAGTGGAATAGGGTCATTGTGTTTACTATTTAAATAATATTTAAAATTATGAAAAGGTACTAAAGTATAAAGTGTTTATTATTGTGTTACGATATTTGTCGATCGTCAAATGATGTGACAGAGAGAAACCAAATTAGACTATGGAATATCTATAAATATTCAAAGGGTGAATGTACATTTATTTACATTCTTCTTTGTACTCAAAATTAAGATAATAAATAAAAAAAATTACAAAATTTAAAAAGACAATAATAAAAATGTGATGTTTTTTTATTACTTTAGAAAAGAAAGATAGACAGTGCATAATATGCAAAAGATCAGAAAGAAAAAAGAAAACATTGATTAACATTTAACCATTTCAATATTTTTTATCCTGCCTACTAATATTTTTTACTTTAATCAAGCAAATGCGAAATTTAGGCATAAAATGATAGAAAATTAGTAGAAAAATCATAATAAAATTATATAATATAAACAGTCAAATATAAGTGAATGTATATATATTCAAATTATTTATTTGTCCTATTAATAAGCAATCTCTAATATTTCAGTATTAAGATTCCAATTTTTTATTTATTAATTAAATTTTTTTCCTTATTTCTATAGTGTACAAAATATTTCCTTATTGAATATGCATATTTTTCAAGGTATTAATGCTAAACTGACTACATTAAGTATATTGTTGCAGCTAATGAAGAGATAATTAAATACCCCTATTATTTGAAAATTAATTTATTCATTTATTTATATATTTATAGCACCTATATGATGATTTCGTTATACTTTTTACATAGCACTATATTTGTTTTACTTATCATTTCTAAATATTTAAATTTGGTACATCTCTTTTCTCCTTTTCTAATTATTTCATGCAATATTGACGTTTGTTTCTTTTCAATATGTTTTACATTTTGAAATAGTAATTTCCACTTACAAAATATCGTATGAAAAAAACGTTCTTAAATATTTTAATTTTTTAATGTCAACCATTTTATTTATTTTTTCCTATTCGACTATTTTTGCACATTATAAAAATTATGTTAATATAGATTTAAACAAATAATTTACCCCTAATACTTTCTTCAATTTCATACAATACAAATTGTTTAATCTATATATCCTACAAACACAATAAAATAACCAATGTACAATCCAAACAACATTTAAAAAAGATTAAAATTACAATTATTAAATATAATAAACCACCTACAATATATTCTTTAATGCGTTTTAAAATATTCAAATGTATTTATGTATCCTTTTTTTTTTTTTTTTTTTTAATTAATCTATATGAATATTTAATATATATTTAAGATAATATGATGAAAACTTCTGGATCATAAACATTTTCTTACAATAAATATATAAATATTATATATGTTATCAAATAAGCTATTTAAAATATTTTTCTACAAATTTTAATCCTTGCTTCTGTATGATAATAAAAAAGAAATTTTTATAGTGATATAAAATTAGATACAATATGTGATGACAAATACGAATATACATAACTTTATAATTTAAAAATTTAAGTAATTCTTTTAAGCATACTAAAGTTATTACCAAATTATATTATCAAATTAAGAGTACTTAGTTAAATTCTTTATTTATCTTTTGTAACATGAATTGTTATATAACAATTCTGAAACTTACGTATGTTTTCCACTATTTAAATTTAGAAGTTGAATAATCAATGATTTATAAGAATACACTTCAATTATCTTTATACTGCACGAATCGTTTCAAGTCTAAGTCACTATTTTATATTACGTATACCAAATTTGAAAATTATAATATATGTAGTTAAATTATTAAATAATCGACCAATTTATATGAAGAACAAATATTATATTTTGAACATTGAAAGAAGTTTAATGTAATTAATTTGGATACATACTGAACATTATAATTTTATTTAATTAGTACTTTTATCTATGTATAACTATAATTTCATTTTATTCTAAATATATTATGGATTATTGTCTTAAATATAGAAAATATTAATACACCTATATATAAATTAGCTCTTAATATTATCAACTTTTCAACGTAACACAAAATTAGAGAATAATAAAGGAGTTCAATTTTAATCATAGGTATTTCTGTGAGATACAACATATTATTTAAAACTATTACGCTGTTATATTTTAAATATGTAATTTGAAAGATATCGTGTAAGGGTAACTTTAAAAAAAATCAATAGGCATTTTTTGCTAGAAATAGCAATGATTTTATATGCTTTTATATCAAAACAGTTTTATTTAAATATTATAAATACAACTTAAAATTTATCTGATATCAAACTAGATTCAAAATGAATAATACTGAAAAAATATATAGCACTAAGTCTAAATTTATTAAAATATTTTAAATTTTAATGCAAGTAATGGGTATGGCGCATGCTGATTTTAAAAGGAAAAAAATTATTACTAATATAATGTTAAATATAACATTAAATTCGATGATAATTTCATTTGTTGTTGTAACCGACGTAATGATATACTCAAAAAATAACCTTGCAGTGTGTTTCTGTTCATTTGTTATCTTTTAAGTCTCTTTATTTATAAAATTGCTTAAAATGATAAGAAATATTGCATAGTGCCCATATTTAATTGAAATTTTTCCAGTATTATATTTTATAATTATTCACGGTTATTACACGGAAGTTCATAGTTTATTATCATATTATTCCTTAATTTTATTTCTTGATTTTAAGTTATAACAATCTTTACTCTACAGTAGAAATTACAATTCCAACTTTTTTTTGTTAATTAATCGTTTTATTATCATTTTACATTTATATGGAAGTTCAAGTCGTACTTTATATATACTTGCATTTACTATAAGAAATAGCAATCAAATTAAAATATTAGAAATTAAATATATATAAAATATTGAATAATCTGAATAAAAACTTAAACTTTAATAGTTAAATTACAATAAATTATTATTTACTAAAATTTTAACTTCAGATATTACATATTAATTAAATAAATATTCCAAAACAAAATTTATAAAATAAAATTTTACTTGTAGAACATAAATTTCATATATTACATTTAATTTTTATATATTTTTGTTACATTGAAATAATAATTAAAAACAATGATTTTTAAATTTTTTATTTTCCTTCAGAATCTAACATTTATTATACCATGTTATTACGGATTGCAGCATTTTACGCGGTAAACAAAGTGGTAGAGGTAAAGACACCTGCTTAGGTCAAAATATTGCGCGCCAAGTCGTAAACACGATTCTACGAAATTGGGAAATTTCAATACTCAAACAGTCGAAATTACATTATAATTCCGACTAACAGGGCCGACGAACTCTCCAAGGCTAGATTCTAGTGACGTCACTCTAACTATCAGCATAACAAGAGGAATCTAGAATTCATTGGAATCGCAAGCCCGTACTATAATATTTAAGGAGACGCGCTTGACGCTCTCGCTCTCTTACTAGTTCAATCAAACAGTCATCAAGATCGGATCGCCGTCCTACAAATCGACTACATTCAATGGAAGCCAAGCTCACGGCCTTCTAACGCCACTACACGGATCGACCTCAACACACGTAAATTACGCTATTACACACGTTCTTACGTACCATCAATGCACTGAGATCGACTCCACGCGTAAGCTACGCTATAATACACGTTCTTACGAATTACTAATATACGGCTCCTTCAACTAAGTAAGCAGCAATACTAATAAACGGCTCACGGTACGAGGACTACTCCCACACGTCAAGCAGTAACGTGATACGGATATACTCCTTCCACTAAACCATTACAGCGTGCAAGTCGCTAGACAACGGCATCATCGCCGTTCCTCAGCAGGGGCGTCATACAGGCGCCCCCCACACAAACCGCTACAGCTCGTAGGCATAGGCAAAGGTGGCACCATCGTTGCCCCTTACAGCGCGACTCTCGCCACGGCGCCATCGCTGGCCCTTACAGCGAGAATCTCCTACTATCACTGCGAGTTCATAACCACAAGTAGGAGAGTACCAAACCATCAAGAATACACTTACAGGATTCCTATCGCTCATATTAATTGAAGAAACTCTCATCTATTCATTGTATCATACATTCAATCATACCTCAATAGAACACTGACTATTTATTATATCATTATATACAATAAAGGAAAACCACTACATTCAAAGGCAGTGTTGAATTATTGCATTGTCCATTCCACTTGCCAGCAAGCCTCCACACCATCTCAGGGAGGCTTTTAGTCTGATCCCAGACACATGTAGTTCAACAGTTATTACAGAACTCGTAAAACTTTCAGTATTTTTTTTAAGCGTCAAAAAGTGTTACAATTAAATAAATTTACCTATGAACAATTTTGGAATGTAAAATATAATGATGAAGAAACAATTATGAAGAATAATTGTGATAAGGTATGCTTCAAAAGTTTAGTTATTTATATTATTGTTTGTCAAATTGTATGCTGGCATTACGTACTTACACCTGTATTTGGTTAGTATTTGTTTATATTAACCGAATAAAAAACTAATAGAATTCTATAAAAATAATATTTAATACTTAACATTTATA